TCTGTGGTAAAAGATCGTTAGAATGTCTGATGATTTTGTTGTACAAAAATCAAGAAAATACCAACATGGCAACATAATCATAATTCAAAATATGAACAAAAGAAAGACTTGCGCAGAGAATCCTGAACAAATACAAGGAGAATAAGACCAGGTATTCAGGAAGAGTAAGCGTCCTCTGCTTCATCGACGACACCCGTCATGTAAACCTTGATCAATCCAAGTAAGTAATGGCACGTTCTCAAAAGAGAACAAGGGATGCAGTAACGGAACCAAAAGGCAAACTAACGAGCATGAAACACGTCAAGCTTCATGTCACACAAAAAGATATAATATTTCTCAATGAGATCACTATGGCAACCATAAACTTTCCATATATTTCCCATCGATCTGCATCTTTTGCACCTTTGTGTTACGGGTAACCTCATTCTCATTCAAAAACGTGTCCATGTCTTTTAGGACATTGCAAATACATTAAATTCATGAAACTGCGTGTTTCAAATGGCATGGATAGACACAAAATTAAGGAACACTCGGACCGTGATCTCATGATCCGTGTGTTTCAGTTGATGGACGTTTTAAAGCTAGTTTGCTTCAGGTCTCAAAAACTAGCTGTTCGTGCCTGTAGTCTAATAACTAAAATGAGCTTCTTGTCTTTTTCTGAGTACTGAATATAATACCAACCCTATTCATCTGCATTTACGTTAAGGACCGCGTAACGGATTGTCACTTTTCTTAATATCTGCTATAACGCTGATGTTGTTATTGTGCAGAAATAACAAAGAAAATAGGGATATATTTAATGAATCTTCATTAATCACAACATAGCAAAATAATGTCACAGGGTGAATAGGAGTAAGTATCTGTAAACGTCCTGTTTAATTTGTATTCGTTACTGTCCGTGCATTTACGTGTATGTCCTTATTTGGTGTGTTACCTGTTATGTATTGTCAGTGTCTGTCCTTATATGGTGTTGTCTTGAGACGTGTACTTGTCCAGGTGTGACATGTGAGGAAGTCGTGCAAGAGTGAGTGTGTAGGGTAATAAAACTAGGGATACCCCTGGGTGCTGGGCAGAATCACAGACTAGCCACGTCGCTCTGGACGTCCTCGGGAGTCCAGGCGCCATATATAGCTACGGATGTAAATTATTGAGACGGTCGGTGTAGTGAGGTGGTTGCATTCATAAACCAGGGGTATTAATAAATACGTTCAACACACAGCGAATCCGAGTCGATGGTGTGACAATAAGAAAAAAGTCAGGATTATATGGATACTTCGAAAAATGTACAAATAGAACAAGACCAGGTTCTTCGGAAGAATAAGCGTCTTCTGCTTCATTGCCGACACCCATCATCTAAATCTTGGTTAATTCGAGAAAGAAATATCTTGTCCCCAAATGGGAACGATATAATATATATGATTGAAAAAACACACCTTTAGATACAAAATTTCAGTAGAATCATCCAATGCATTAAACTGCATCATGCATCTGTTTGCTCCTTTCAGGATTCGCCAGTAATGTTAAGGGTTTAGATTTTAATGCTAGGAGACGACTGAGGAGAATCCCAAGAAACCAAACAAAATGTTAAAATGTAGACAAGGAGGTACACAGGCTCATACTTTAGTAGATTTCATAGTCTTTATATATCTTTAAAAAAAATGAATCACTTTAAGTACATGTTTGTAAGTTTACAAGTTACCAGCGTGTTCTTTAGTTGGTTTTATTTGGATAAGTACTGCCATAGAATTCTTGTCATCTTTCCAGGTACTCTATGTTGTATGTTTAAAAACACATCCAGGACGTATGTAATAATTTCAGTCTATTTAGGTTATATAATGATGTGTGATACCATTTGTATGGATGAGATTTAAGACCTTAATATTGGAAAACATTTAACATCTTATCGCAGATTTTATTGACATTCTCACAAGGTTCAATTTTTTACCGATATCAATCGGAATTAAGAAACAAAATGAATATATATTAATAAAAATCAAGAAGTATGTCACTAAATTAAGCATTAAAGTATTTCTTAATTCTCGTTTATAGGCGATACGAATGTCATCTGGCTTATCTAAATGGATATTGATATTGCCTATAACGGAATCAGTCGATAATTACAAAATCACATCATTGGTAAGTACTTGTTTCAGTAGAATAAAATAGTTCAGGTTTTCACATTGTTTTTATTGCTCAAAGTCAGTTAAGTGTACTTTTTTTCCTTTATAATGATTATTTAATGCATTTCTTAATCTTCGCAAAAGTTTGAAACATTTGTCTCCTTTTCATAGATTTGAATATATATAATTATGACATAAATCTGAATAGCTAGATACTAATTACAGTCAACGTAAAATGAAGAGCTGGGATGTCACGAGCAGTCATGACGTGCTCGCTTACTGTGGTCACAATGAAAATATAATGTTGTCTGGTCAACTAATTAATTCAATTAAAGTCTGAATTTTTGTATACTGGGCTGCTAATCAAACAAAGGTCATAATTGATTATTCTTATTTGTCTGTATTTTGGAAGCGGAGCTAAATATTTACAATCTTATCTTACATACCTTTGACTTCGCTGTTTCGGACGTTACCTTAACGATGCCAGAATGTTGGCAATGACGCCAAACTGTGATGGAAAATGTGTGAATCTGAAATCACTGTTAATAGCGTGGAATATTTAACATTTTTATTATGTTCGTTCCGTATAAAACGGGATAACAAACAATGATCTGCTACTAAACTGCCTTAGGCACACATCATTATGTTTAAATGAGCATCTTTTTAAAATCGAATGTATACCCTTAGCATAACTGACGAGACCTAGAAGGACGAAACAGCTGTATGATGTAACATCACTGATGAGTCCTAGAAGGACGAAACAGCTGTATGATGTAACATAACATCACTGCATCATTAACGAGTCCTAGAAGGACAGAACAGCTGTATGATGGACGATAGAAGGACGAAACAGCTGTATGATGTAACATCACTGACGAGTCCTAGAAGGACGGAACAGCTGTATGATGTAACATCACTGACGAGTCCTAGAAGGACGAAACAGCTGTATGATGTAACATCACTGACGAGTCCTAGAAGGACGAAACACTTGTATGATGTAACATCACTGACGAGTCCTAGAAGGACGAAACAGCTGTATGATGTATCATCACTGACGAGTCCTAGAAGGACGAAACAGCTGTATGATGTAACATCACTGACGAGTCCTAGAAGGACGGAACAGCTGTATGATGTAACATCACTGACGAGTCCTAGAAGGACGAAACAGCTGTATGATGTAACATCACTGACGAGTCCTAGAAGGACGGAACAGCTGTATGATGTAACATCACTGACGAGTCCTAGAAGGACGAAACAGCTGTATGATGTAGCATCACTGACAAGTCCAAGAAGGACAGAACAGCTGTATGATACAGTTTGATTCATTGTTTGTCTGTACTGTATCTAACTCTACATTATTAAGAGGTGTTATTCACTAATGTGTTTTTTGTACAATCTTAGACTCATAATATATATAGTTTTATAAAAGGAATAGCTGTTTTCATGGTTCATATAGAAAAAAACTGCAACGTAAATGTAAACATAATGAGATCAACATAGTTAATGGCCATTACACACAAATTAAAACATCTTACTTAACATCTACATTATAATCTAACAAATGATGATATCAATGGAGTGAACGTTGTGAAGGTATTAACGATTTTCACGCGCGGTTCTCGTGTTAGTGCCAAATACACTATTCTATAGAATATGAAATACACAATATGCATATTTTTCTCCATTTTTTATTAGATATATCAATCTAAATTACATGATGTTGATCTAAAATCAGTTGAAAATAAAAAATATAAAATTCAAATTAAAATTTAAATGCTATATGCAAAGTTTTTCATTACCTTTACTTGTACATATTTACCGAATTATGAATTAACCCGTTTTCTCCTTCCAGGATTCAACAATGAGTACAAAGTTTTTAAAATGCTTAAATCAAATACCGGCTTGCGTCAATAAAATCGAACAAAGCAGCAGTGAAATATTGAAGGGGAAACACGTGACGTATCCCTTCAATGAATATTTTTTTTGTTTATATCATTTTCTCTAAGTTACTCATATAGTGATGCAGAACAACACCTGTGTTGTCTTTCACCAATCAATTAGTACACAAATATATATTTTGACGAGTAATATATATGTATATATATCCGATATAGTTTTCTCCTCAAATGTCTAAACAAAGCGGAACGAGGACAATAGATCTAAGGACCGAATACGATTCCTACTTTGATCCCTAACCATCAACATTAAGTAAATACAATTTCAGAGCCCACAACGTTTCATTTCAAACTACATTAAGTAAATACAATTTCAGAGCCCACAACGTTTCATTTCAAACTACATTAAGTAAATACAATTTCAGAGCCCACAACGTTTCATTTCAAACTACATTAAGTAAATACAATTTCAGAGCCCACAACGTTTCATTTCAAACTACATTAAGTAAATACAATTTCAGAGCCCACAACGTTTCATTTCAAACTACATTAAGTAAATACAATTTCAGAGCCCACAACGTTTCATTTCAAACTACATTAAGTAAATACAATTTCAGAGCCCACAACGTTTCATTTCAAACTACATTAAGTAAATACAATTTCAGAGCCCACAACGTTTCATTTCAAACTACATTAAGTAAATACAATTTCAGAGCCCACAACGTTTCATTTCAAACTACATTAAGTAAATACAATTTCAGAGCCCACAACGTTTCATTTCAAACTACATTAAGTAAATACAATTTCAGAGCCCACAACGTTTCATTTCAAACTACATTAAGTAAATACAATTTCAGAGCCCACAACGTTTCATTTCAAACTACATTAAGTAAATATAGATTCAGAGCCTACAACGATTCCTTGATTTCTATATCATATAAATACAAGGTGTGTATATCCGACATATTTAACCTTTAAAACCTACCTTGGTCTTGACCTTTGACATCAGCACCCCTTGGGTATGAATCCAATGACTGTGCCAGTAGGACCAGAAGGAGACACGCTACTACATAAGCCATGGCCGGCTAGTATCGAGGTATACAACACAAGCCTACCTTTATACCTGTAAAAAGATATATATATATAGGTACATATTGGTTTTACACGATAGGTCGGGGGCACTGTACCTTGCTTATACAGGATACGTTACCATATCATTATGGCGGGACATGTGTGTGACGTAAATGCATGACTGACACTCATATTAACGATCTAACATATGGTTGACATTTTGATGACGGCTTCAATTTCATTTACCTAATTCAATACTTGATTATTCCCGTCTTTATCATTAATCTTTTACGAGATTTTTATCATTCTATGCTAGAAACATTGTGGCATGTTCACATACAACTTTCACTTTTGATCTGATCAGGTGGGATATTTGATGACATACTTTAAATCAAACACCACGTTATATCAAGTCGGTAAATAAAAGCTTACATCTTACAGGTTTGTGCACCAAGTTTTTAAACGTATTGTAAAGAGTGTACATTATAATCAATGAAACTTTAGATGGGTCTAGGCATTCATATATCGAATTAACAGTGTAGATTTCAGCACGTGTTTTTTATGGTTAAAAGGTTGTTTCATGAATCGGTATCGACAGATAGATTTTTTATCCTTCTGCAGCAGCAAGTACCAGTGTATGTCTTCTGTGTTATTAACAATGTCTTCAACATTCCATATTCTGGCAATGTCCTTTCATTTTTTATTTATCAACCTCGTCTTTTATATTTCCAAACATTAAACCTTATCATCGCTGTCCTTTAGGAAGCATTTTTTATTTTTTCAAGTCGCACTTGATTCGATATTTAAAGCAAGTTTGGAATGAAAAACTAAAAACAAAACAAAAAAGGGCAATACGCTCACGGAATCATTATCTAAACACAAATGTAATGATACACATGGCAAAATAGGAACAAAAGAATGCATGGAGACTCCTTTAAAAAGTACAGGGAGAATTAGACGATGTTGGCATGTTCATATCAAGAAATGGAAAATTCTCAATACGGAATTTGAAATGATCATACCTATCCTGCAGCTTAGAGGGAAACTATCCGTGTTTGGTATCGTTGGTCTGCCGTGTCCTTGACTTCCAATTCTGTTGGGTAATTTACACGATGGATGTGGTTCATCTTTTATCATTGAAAAACAAGACGTCATCAATATATCTGAATAGGAATTTGAATAACTTTTCAAAGTCCTTGTGACATTTTTGATAAGTTCTTATATGTATTCAGCCTAGTGTGAAAACGACAACAAGAGCCAGGAGTGGAGTAAAGTGTTCCCATTGGTACATATATGTCAATTGTTTGACTTGAAGATGTTGTTAACCAGGGCTTTAATAAATTTTTTTATGATTTCATTCGCTGTCTATTTCTGCTTTGATTTATACGTTCAATCTAACTTTGTTATTTCGAACTTGTATAACTCGAAGACCTTTTCAATTCGAAACCTCACTCTACATACAACATTCGAACTCACTTTAATCGAATACTCGGTTATCTCGAAGTTTTCCCATGGTCTCGCCGGGTTCGAGATATCGAGAAGTATTTTTTATGAAATACGGTTTAGTATACAATACAGTTTTCATTTGCACATGTGTACGGCCGTTTATCTTTCAAGAAAAAAATCTCTCACAAAAACACAACGACGTCTGCTGTTTAGAACAGAATATGTAGTGCACAGAGTGGAAAATCAAATTTCCTTACGGCAGAAATGTTTTTAAAACGGCTGTGAAGAATGGACAATAGCTTTCTTTACAATCAACATACCATTAAAGAAAGTGATTTCATTAGGAAATAGTCTGTTTCGTTGTATTGTGCTATATGAAGCTGAACGTGTTTGGCACTCGTTAATATGGCTTGTGGTTCAGCTGTTGTTTACCTTGTTCTCATTAGGGAACGTGACATTCCTTGCACGGATTGACTAACATTTACATGGAATATATTATTATCGTATATATTCGATAGAGTTCGGGTAAATCTTTCTCTTGAATATATTTTATTCGGGTTTTATCGAATTCGAATAGGAATAAAGACAATGTTGACCTGTTTTCCTACTTTCCTGCTGATTTACGTGTTGACACTGACGGCACTATGTAATAAACTAACACAGCCAGTGGAGGGTTTGAGTATGACGCGTACTAGCACTGCATGAAGACGAATCGACTACTCTCTTTTTATAATCTGTTTACCATCTCGTCATATTATTTTCTACCTTAATGTATAATAGGATTACATACCATTTCGTACACTACGTACGTCAGTGCTAGTACACTCCACACTGGTCATTTGTCTGATGAAGGTGACCGTGTAGATCTCGTACACTACGTACGCCAGTGTTAGTACGCTCCACACTGGTCATTTGTCTGATGAAGGTGACCAAATATACGTACGTCAGTGTTAGTACGCTTCACACTGGTCATCTGTCTGATGAAGGTGATCGTGTAGATCTCGTACACTACGTACGTCAGTGCTAGTACACTCCACACTGGTCATCTGTCTGATGAAGGTGACGTACGTCAGTGCTAGTACACTCCACACTGGTCATCTGTCTGATGAAGGTGACCGTATAGATATCGTACACTACGTACGTCAGTGTTAGTACGCTCCACAATTTCATCATTTTATCAATAGAAATGGCGCAAATTAATGCAAAACATTCATAGTCTAATACAGACAATATATACTGAACAGTTCCACCAAGTAATACATGTATGATATCAAAATCTGGCAAAGATTGCAAATAAGTCATCAATTCTATATCAACATTTGAACAGATCAGGCACCAAAGATTGTCTCTTAGTACTTCAGTCTTTGTACAATGTAGAACAATATGGGTAGTAATATCGCTATGTAAAATTCCACAAAAATGACATAATTCCATTACATTAGAAGACCTTGTGTCGACACACAACTTCATAACGTTTTGCATTCTATGCAAATGTTCTGGAAACTTCAACGCTAATTTCCATAAAATATGTGGACAGATTGTATTATGAATCATTTTATCGTGTGCCAATATTTCTTCTCGATTATGCACAGCTTTATGAACAATAGATTTCCACAATACTTTACTAGGAAAAACGGTATCTGAAATATATTTTATTAGGTGCACATATAAAATCATATTTGCGCAATATTCTCACAATATCAGGATTAAAACCACTCTGACAAGCGGAGTTCGTTTGCTGTTTCTTGACGAAACCCGCTTCTGAAATCACAGCTGTTGAAATAAACAACGTCGTGATTAAGGTGTATGAGTGAGTTAAACTTATTACATGATCATACCTGATACGTTAAGCTCCTATCAGATCCAAACCTACTTTTCGTGATAATTAAAAATTTTCATAAGAAACTTTAATTAGGTGGGTGGGACATGCTACCTCGTCAACCGGAGGTCAGAGTTGCTGGTATTGAATAAAAGATCATTCGTCTGTGAAATGAAAAAAATATGATATTTAGACTGGTGTCAAGCTCCTACGTAACAGTACAAGTACACCTTTTGTACCCGTCATTCACACCTGCTTATAACGCCCTATAGATAAGGTGATGATAGTAAACTTACAATCACAGTGACGTCACTGACCTCCGTCATTAAAGTTGTGCACGTGATTTTGTCAGAGTAGTCAACAGTATGTTTTTGTATTTCTCTACTCTCTATCAGAATTGAAAAAACACTGAAATTAATCTTGATTGGCGGGCATTAGAAATTAAAACCCCTGAAACGATAAGTGGATACATTTTGACAGTCATCAGTATTGATCACGTGAACTTTTGAAATCTACATAATCACGTAATTCACACGATACATTTGTCTATTTATACCGTGCATTAAATACCGAATTTTAAATTACATCTGAAGCACATGTTTATATGTTAACTATATATGCATATTTTTGTGACGTGTTTACAGACAAACACTAAGAATATCATGCTCTATATAAACGCCACCTGTGTATAAAGACCACTTTTCCCTGCTCCATTGAGTGGCCGTTATGGATAGGTTTTTCCAACTTTGACCCGACATATCCCGAAATACAGGTAAACAAGTGATATCAACTGTATTTGTGTTACAAGCTACCGCTTGTATTAATCATTCTTGTTGGCCCGGATGTAAGACCGCGAGGTGTCTGACTGTCGGAGGAAACGGAACAACCAGGAAAAATCCACGTGGTCAGCCCAGTGACCTTTTCACGTCCGTAGCGGGAATCAACCGCGGACGTCTAAGTGAAAGTTGAGTGCGTTACCACTACGCCACCCGATCACACTGAACAAATGATATAAAAATGGTCACATGACAACACTGAGGGTCTATAAATAGGAGATAATGGGCATAGCGTGATAAAAATTGATATATGACTTTATAAGTGACTATATATATATATATACACTGTCACTTTCATCTGAAAAAAGACCAGTATGAAGAAATTAAATCATGATGTATATCATAGTAAGAGTTGTCTTTAAAGGACTTTTTTTATAAAATGTACTGATCACACTGGAGTATTCTGTAAACGTCTGTATTTTGACGCGATGTATACAATGTACGGAGTCCGGTAATCACACTGGAGTATTCTGTAAACGTCTGTATTTTGACGCGATGTATACAATGTACTGATCACACTGGAGTATTCTGTAAACGTCTGTATTTTGACGCGATGTATACAATGTACTGAGGCCGGTAATCACACTGGAGTATTCTGTAAACGTCTGTATTTTGACGCGATGTATACAATGTACGGAGGCCGGTAATCACACTGGAGTATTCTGTAAACGTCTGTATTTTTACGCGATGTATACAATGTACTGTGGCCGGTAATCACACTGAAGTATTCTGTAAACGTCTGTATTTTGACGCGATGTATACAATGTACGGAGGCCGGTAATCACACTGGAGTATTCTGTAAACGTCTGTATTTTGACGCGATGTATACAATGTACTGAGGCCGGTAATCATCACACTGGAGTATTCTGTAAACGTCTGTATTTTGACGCGATGTATACAATGTACGGAGGCCGGTAATCACACTGGAGTATTCTGTAAACGTCTGTATTTTGACGCGATGTATACAATGTACTGAGGCCGGTAATCACACTGGAGTATTCTGTAAACGTCTGTATTTTGACGCGATGTATACAATGTACGGAGGCCGGTAATCACACTGGAGTATTCTGTAAACGTCTGTATTTTGACGCGATGTATACAATGTACTGAGGCCGGTAATCACACTGGAGTATTCTGTAAACGTCTGTATTTTGACGCGATGTATACAATGTACGGAGGCCGTTAATCACACTGGAGTATTCTGTAAACGTCTGTATTTTGACGCGATGTATACAATGTACGGAGGCCGGTAATAACACTGGAGTATTCTGTAAACGTCTGTATTTTTACACGATGTATACAATGTACTGAGGCCGGTAATCACACTGGAGTATTCTGTAAACGTCTGTATTTTGACGCGATGTATACAATGTACGGAGGCCGGTAATCACACTGGAGTATTCTGTAAACGTCTGTATTTTTACACGATGTATACAATGTACTGAGGCCGGTAATCACACTGGAGTATTCTGTAAACGTCTGTATTTTGACGCGACGTATACAATGTACTGATCACACTGGAGTATTCTGTAAACGTCTGTATTTTTACGCGATGTATACAAATGTAATACTGGAGTATTCTGTAAACGTCTGTATTTTGACCGGTATACAATCACACTGGAGTATTCTGTAAACGTCTGTATTTTGACGCGATGTATACAATGTACTGAGGCCGGTAATCACACTGGAGTATTCTGTAAACGTCTGTATTTTGACGCGATGTATACAATGTACGGAGGCCGGTAATCACACTGGAGTATTCTGTAAACGTCTGTATTTTGACGCGATGTATACAATGTACGGAGGCCGGTAATAACACTGGAGTATTCTGTAAACGTCTGTATTTTTACACGATGTATACAATGTACTGAGGCCGGTAATCACACTGGAGTATTCTGTAAACGTCTGTATTTTGACGCGATGTATACAATGTACTGATCACACTGGAGTATTCTGTAAACGTCTGTATTTTCACGCGATGTATACAATGTACTGATCACACTGGAGTATTCTGTAAACGTCTGTATTTTGACGCGATGTATACAATGTACGGAGGCCGGTAATCACACTGGAGTATTCTGTAAACGTCTGTATTTTGACGCGATGTATACAATGTACTGAGGCCGGTAGTCACACTGGAGTATTCTGTAAACGTCTGTATTTTTACGCGATGTATACAATGTACTGAGGCCGGTAATCACACTGGAGTATTCTGTAAACGTCTGTATTTTGACGCGATGTATACAATGTACGGAGGCCGGTAATCACACTGGAGTATTCTGTAAACGTCTGTATTTTGACGCGATGTATACAATGTACTGATCACACTGGAGTATTCTGTAAACGTCTGTATTTTGACGCGATGTATACAATGTACTGAGGCCGGTAGTCACACTGGAGTATTCTGTAAACGTCTGTATTTTTACACGATGTATACAATGTACTGAGGCCGGTAATCACACTGGAGTATTCTGTAAACGTCTGTATTTTGACGCGATGTATACAATGTACGGAGGCCGGTAATCACACTGGAGTATTCTGTAAACGTCTGTATTTTTACGCGATGTATACAATGTACTGAGGCCGGTAATCACACTGGAGTATTCTGTAAACGTCTGTATTTTGACGCGATGTATACAATGTACTGATCACACTGGAGTATTCTGTAAACGTCTGTATTTTTACGCGATGTATACAATGTACTGAGACCGGAAATCACACTGGAGTATTCTGTAAACGTCTGTATTTTGACGCGATGTATACAATGTACTGAGGCCGGTAATCACACTGGAGTATTCTGTAAACGTCTGTATTTTGACGCGATGTATACAATGTACTGAGGCCGGTAATCACACTGGAGTATTCTGTAAACGTCTGTATTTTTGACGCGATGTATACAATGTACTGAGGCCGGTAATCACACTGGAGTATTCTGTAAACGTCTGTATTTTGACGCGATGTATACAATGTACTGATCACACTGGAGTATTCTGTAAACGTCTGTATTTTGACGCGATGTATACAATGTACGGAGGCCGGTAATCACACTGGAGTATTCTGTAAACGTCTGTATTTTGACGCGATGTATACAATGTACGGAGGCCGGTAATCACACTGGAGTATTCTGTAAACGTCTGTATTTTGACGCGATGTATACAATGTACTGAGGCCGGTAATCACACTGGAGTATTCTGTAAACGTCTGTATTTTGACGCGATGTATACAATGTACTGAGGCCGGTAATCACACTGGAGTATTCTGTAAACGTCTGTATTTTGACGCGATGTATACAATGTACGGAGGCCGATGTATACAATGTAATCACACTGGAGTATTCTGTAAACGTCTGTATTTTGACGCGATGTATACAATGTACTGATCACACTGGAGTATTCTGTAAACGTCTGTATTTTGACGCGATGTATGCAATGTACTGAGGCCGGTAATCACACTGGAGTATTCTGTAAACGTCTGTATTTTGACGCGATGGCATTTCGTCGCTCTTTAAGTTCTTAACAAAAAAGAAAAATAAGGAATTTAGTAACCACTATGATTGCTATATAAGCAGTGTACAGAATCTGTAAGTAGCGTAATCAAACATTGGCGCAATAATTTGCTAAAATAAAAAGAGCTAAAAAATTCTCTTAGAATATGTAAATTTACAGTATGAGATAGCATAACGTTCAGTTGTACGATAGAATCTATCTGCGGACACGGACAACCACGTCGGGCCCTTTCCGGCCTTTTCTTTATAGAAACGGGACATTTGCTGTATAATTTGAGCGCGAAAATAGCTAGAATAAAATTTCCACCAAAATATGTAAATTTATAGTTTAAGATAGTATACGCTATGAACTATTTATGGAAAAGGGTAAATCTCATGTCTCCATAGCAATGGGACAATTTAATGTATAAATAAATAAATTCAAGGTGATATGTTCACTGGGGTGGGTGGGGTGGTGGTGGAGGGTTACATGTCTTCTGACCAGCAATGTCCAAAAATTGAAAGTTATTATAGTTTTACATTAGCTTTGAGGTTGAAGATCGAAAAAGTGTAAGAAATACGGAATTATCTTTTAACCGGAGATATGATTTTGTAGCAGAACAATAAACAATAGCACGATTTTGTAATTTGGACAGAGTGGGTAGTCTTAACTTGTATTTTATCAAAACTCTGTAAAGTTTTTACAAAATTTTCCTTTCAGCATCACAGACAAGTGTGATAGAATTCGCTTTTAAATGCTTAATATCATTAAACCTTATGGTATGTAATATTGAGGAGAACACAGAACAAAAAGTTCGTGTGTCAAATATCGTACAGCCGATCATTTTTGCGAGGATGATATTTGCGCTATTTCGCGGTACAATAAGATGGTCACAACAATCAGTTAAATACGAACCACGTGTGTATAAGATAGGAAGATATCCTTTTACATTCAGGTCGAGAAATCTTAATTTGTTCCCACATAAAATCATCGTGTTTAAAGGAAATCGCAAACAAATCTAGACCCGTAAAAATGTCCAGCTTTACAGAATAACATCCGGGAATTTAGATAAACAACAGGATAGTATGCTCGTTAGATTTTGAATCTCAAACGTTTAAATATCCTAGATATGAAGTATTAAATAGTGTTGATAGAGGAAGTTTCGAAATAAATCATATTTGCACTAGATGGAAGGCATAACATTCATAGAGTGATTGAGTGGTTCAGTAGTAGCACACTCGCCTTTCAACGAGCCGTCCGGGGTCCGAATCTTGAAAAGGTAAGGGGTCACCTGTTCGACGGGAAGAGTTTCCTCCCACGGTAACCCCCGCCCTCGTGCGCTTACCTCCGAGCCAACAAAGGTAATCAGAATAAATTGTTTCGCGATTGTTGTAAAATTACAAAGTTAAAATTAAATTTCTGAAATATGACGAGATGTTTAACTTGTGATGATAAGCTTGCGCCAGACGGGACGTTGGACGAACATGAGTAACACCATACCCACCTAAACGCTAAATGTAACACAACAACACACATCATAGTATGACATATAATGCTACATACATATTTATACCACCGTAATTATCATACATCAATCTCTTCTGTAGCTGCAATAGGTGCCAGCAGTTCTGAACGGTCGTCATCTTTTGAAGTCGGATGTGAGGATTTTGTTTCATTTTCTGCAATAATATCCCTTTCACGTATTAAAGAAACTTTAACATGTTCTTTAGAATCATAATTATCATGACGAATTGTAGAAGATCGCCGAGCTATATCGCTAGTTCTAACATATTCTTCAATTTCTTCCTCATGATCATCTCTTTTCTCTTTGTCACCAAAATCATAACAAAATAACTTTAAAATCAAAGGCTCAGCCAGTAAAATGGCCGTCGTTAGGAAGTGAAAGGTTCCCATCATCCTAAAAGATAAATTCCAGTCACCAGTAGCATCTTCGATCCAGCCTGAAAGTAAACAAACGATTTGTCTGTATAAAAACCAAACGATTTGTCTGTATATAAAAACCAAACGATTTGTCTGTATATGAAAACCAAACGATTTGTCTGTATATGAAAACCAAACGATTTGCCTGTATATAAAAACCAAACGATTTGCCTGTATATAAAAACCAAACGATTTGTCTGTATATGAAAACCAAACGATTTGTCTTTATATCAAAACAAAACGATTTGTCTGTATATGAAAACCAAACGATTTGCCTGTATATAAAAACCAAACGATTTGTCTGTATATGAAAACCAAACGATTTGTCTATATAAAAACCAAACGATTTATCTGTATATAAAAACCAAACGATTTGCCTGTATATAAAAACCAAACGATTTGTCTGTATATATAAACCAAACGATTTGTCTGTATATAAAAACCAAACGATTTGCCTGTATATATAAACCAAACGATTTGCCTGTATATAAAAACCAAACGATTTGTCTTTATATCAAAACAAAACGATTTGTCTGTATATAAAAACCAAACGATTTGCCTGTATATAAAAACCAAACGATTTGTCTGTATATAAAAACCAAACGATTTGCCTGTATATAAAAACCAAACGATTTGTCTGTATATAAAAACCAAACGATTTGCCTGTATATAAAAACCAAACGATTTGTCTGTATATAAAAACCAAACGATTTGCCTGTATATAAAAACCAAACGATTTGCCTGTATATAAAAACCAAACGATTTGTCTGTATATAAAAACCAAACGATTTGCCTGTATATAAAAACCAAACGATTTGTCTGTATATAAAAACCAAACGATTTGTCTGTATATAAAACCAAACGATTTGTCTGTATATAAAACAAAACGATTTGTCTGTATATAAAACAAAACGATTTGTCTGTATATAAAACCAAACGATTTGTCTGTATATAAAACCAAACGATTTGTCTGTATATAAAAACCAAACGATTTGTCTGTATATAAAAACCAAACGATTTGTCTGTATATAAAAACCAAACGATTTGTCTGTATATAAAAACCAAAACCAAACGATTTGTCTGTATACAAAAACCAAACGATTTGTCTGTATAAAAACCAAACGATTTGTCTGTATATATAAAACCAAACGATTTGTCTGTATATAAAAACCAAACGATTTGTCTGTATAAAAACCAAACGATTTGTCTATATAAAAACCAAACGATTTGTCTATATATAAAAACCAAACGATTTGTCTGTATATAAAAACCAAACGATTTGTCTGTATATAAAAACCAAACGATTTATCTGTATATAAAAACCAAACGATTTGCCTGTATATAAAAACCAAACGATTTGTCTGTATATAAAAACCAAACGATTTGTCTGTATAAAAACCAAACGATTTGCCTGAAAATAAACGAACGATAACATTTATTGAGGAATTAATTCGTGGGAGATTTATTTTCATCGATATCGAAAGGCAAACATATTGATTTTCTTTAAAATTACTTAAATGGAACCCCACGTAAATGTAATGTATCTACAGTCTAAAAACCACAAACCAAAATCATGTTAAAGGATAGCTAATCCTAAAATCCGAAATGGAACTCTTTTTATCGAAACTATATTACATATGAATTAATTACCCATTCCCGGTTGGCTGAAAGCTATCGCTGAGGACATGAATATATAGAGCAGACCAAAGGCTGACGTCAGCTCAATCAGAGGCACACAGTCCAATAGAACGACGGCCATCAGACTCCAAAAGGCTCCCGGGAATATTCCTACCGCCAACCCGTACGCCACCATGACGGGAAATGTCTTAAAACACGGTAACAAAATAGCAGCAGTACCACTCGCTACACCTGAGAATATCATTATTACGCTGTTTGATATGTATTTCTTGTCTGCGAACCAGCCAAATAAAGCTCTCGTTAAAACCTCAGCCGCTCCGATCATAGAAAATGCCAAAGCTACTTCATTTTCATGGAATCCAAGAGACTGCATATGCGCAGGAAACGCCACGAAGTTTGCTGCGTATGCCAAGATATTTATTGTAAACACCATAATAAACATTGTTAAGCGTGTATTACGCAGTAATTTCAGGTAAACATTACAGGTTTTTTCGGTTGTTCGAGTCTCTTTGTGACCTTGTTTTTCGTCAACTGTACTTTGATCAAATGGAGTATGGTTATCTGTTAGTTCCAGGGGCTGTCGTAAGAGGGCGCCAGCTACACACATGTGAAGTATAACACCACTGATAATAATCATTGCTCCGGTGACACTGAATGTATCGATACAGTATTGATAGAGGTACGGGAATACAAAGCTACTAAGTCCGCTACCCGATACCATTATCCCATTGGCAAGTGCCCGTCTCTTCACAAAATAGAAACTAACAATAGTTCCACAAGGAGCAAATGCAAGTCCACTGCCAAACCCTGGGAAAAAAACGATAAAACTTTTTTTTTCAAACATACAGGTTAAAAATATCTTTGCCAATATATTTACATTCCAGGCTTGTCTTGTGAAATATTCAGTCGTACAACAGGCATGTAGCCTACATGACGACTTAATTCTAAAATTAAGAACAATTATTTTCTGAAATTACTTACCTATTTATTTTTATCACGAGTCATCTTAAAGAGCCAGACCAACTCCGTTATAGATATTTTTCATATTTTATTGACTGGAAATGTTGTTGTATACTAATAGATACTATATAGACAAAGACTTGTATAAAGTTTCGAACTTGAAATTGAAAGGGTACCGGAGATATCGGTGCCGGAATTAGTCTCATTAATCAACACCAGGATATGAATATTGATGAGGAAAAGTCACGTGATACGTTTAGACGCAGTCAGAACCAAAACAAAAATGGAGGATGAGGTGAGTAGTACGTCCATGTGACATCGCTTGTAAAGAAATTTTACCCGATAAATGCAATCAATACTCTATATATCATGTATGGAAATCATCTAACGTATGTATTGATCACATCTTTCAATGCTTAGATATGACACAAAAACGTGCAGATTGCGAGAAAACTACGATTAATTGCAAAGAGACCCTCAAAGGGGGCTACGATACGGTAACGAACATATAGAACATCGCGAAATGGATATATCTAAAGCGAATATTCGATGATAAGAGTATCTATGAATATAATTTTAGAGTGATGCTACACGAGAGAGCCAAACAGAGAGCGATACAGAGTATGAACCAGCCATCTTTCTTCTTTTCGTCTCAGAGTCCGTCAAAACACGTTTTCTTCCCCGCTTCCCTCGCACGCTTTCTGCTATGTTGGAAGACGACAGATTTATTTACAGTTCTTTGCGCATGCGTCAGAGGGCAGGACTTCCTGCATAGTTATGAATTAGCACTGAGTCGTTTCGAATTCTTTTTTTAAAACTATTTATTACGCTAGATTGGTAGCGATTTACTTTAAAATTGCGGTATTACAGGGTTAGTGAGAACTTTTGCTACCCGAGAAAAATAGAAAATCATGATTTTTTATATAAAATAATATCGGTCGAGGAGTGGGTCTGGCTCTTTAAGGTGCATAGATGTGTGACAAAATACGCTATAATCCATCATTAGTACTGTAACATATCATGTCGTGAAATCCATTCAAATATTGGTTGTGATGAGGCGATTTTAATAGGCACTGATCCTTCAGTAAAAGGATATAGGAACTGAATGTCTTGGTTCCTCACAAGTAACCTTCACGGTATATGTTGTCAAATCATAATATTATTTCCTTCCTTTGTGCGTTTGCAATACTGAGACACAAATATTATCCATCATGACGAGAAGATTCTCACGAACGCACACATAGAAACTGAGAAAAAATGGAGTTATCTTCCTTCTGTCAGTAAACGGTACACTATGAGCAATCTGATACAAAGATTTAATAATCCGGAATTTGAAAGTCACAGAGGAAACTAAAACAAAAATTATAGAATGATTGTCTGTTTGGAAAATAGGATCCATGTCTTACAAAACTATACGGGCGAGACAAGACAGTATAATTTTTTTTCAATGTTACATGGATCGGCGATCTGGAACCCAAGCATATTGATTTGGCTCAGAGTGACAGGTCACTACACACTTTTCTACACCAGTCTTTCTTTATTTATTTTTTATAATTGATAATTTTATATCATTATTTTTTCACGTTTTTTGTTACAATTCCTACACAAGATCATACAATTATCCTTCCAGCCATGCATTTCTACTTCCACACCAATTATGAAGGAACAGAAACGCCACAGTCTCGCTACACATCACCAGGATCGATTCGTGTAAGTACACGCTAGGGAAATAAGCAAATACGCATCCCTTTCCTGAAACGGTCTCATAACGGAGTCGCATTTTAACATTTAAGTACATGTAGAATAGTTATGTCACAAACGGATGACGTCACAATGCTTGCTTCACCGATAATGATTCCGTCTATATACATTCCATCATTAATTCTGACATTGTTGAGGGAACGGAAAGTGATGTCGGAAATAATAAAATTTAATTCAGTATCAGGATTTTAAACTTTATCACTTAACTCTGTGTTTGAAATATTTCAGTCCACTTTACTGAAAGATAAATCCTACCGACATCACGGTCAGTTTTTCTCTGATTTTTTCATTATCATTATTGCAGATATATGTCGAGTTTATCACCTTCCGAACAACGACAGTTGGTTTTCACTGAAGTATGCACATAATCAAGTTATCAATAACTATAGCAAGAGGCCCACGGGGCCTAAACAGTCATCTGACTACACTTTCATCAGGCAGAAATGCCATTTTTCTACTTTGAATGAAATCTTACTAAAAAGCTGTTATCCATGATTCAGATGGTAGTTTTGGTAAGGAGTATGTAACTGTAACAAGTGTTACATATTATTTAACAGGAAAGTTTTCAGACAGCAGTTAACCCTAAATCTGAGTCAGTTTCCTTTCTGTAGGCACAGCCCTTGTGTCATAAGGGGCTAACCCTGCCTCCTATATATAATAATGTATGTAATAGGTGTTACACAGCAAAGCCATGATTGCGCAATCATGTAACAAAATGGCCTCCCTTTCATGACAAAGTTTTGACAAAGTCGAAAATTAACAACACTTTGTTGGGTACCTTTCCTTAATGTTAAGCCAGTATATAGCTCTATGGCACCAGTAGAACTAGAAGTTTAAAATATAAACTTGGTCAGGATCATCTCAGGATCAATTCAGACAAGTTGGTACTCAATCCCACGGGTGGAACTTTAGATGAAGTTTAAAATGTCAAAAGTTTACGCACGCCGGACGACGGCCGAAACACTATTACTGGAAAAGACAACTTTATTTGTTGATCAACAGTTTGGATCTGTAACTTTTTGTGTCATATATGATTACGTTTGCACACAAAAAGTAATGTCGTCTGTAAAACAACAGTTTTCCTACTGAACTGATCACGACAATGTTGGCATGTTAATATCATTTATTTCACAATCATGAATTGACTAAGAATAATAAAAAATTGCCACGCCCATAACAAAATCCGGTTATGAGAAAATGGAAATTTACTTACAGTGTCACTATCTGTCTCTTACTTACCACAGATCACTCCGATTGTCAGAAACATCCACTCCATTCGTGGCACAAAGGCACTGATGAAGTAGCCGATAGACACGAGAAGCCCGCCAAACATGACCACAGCCCGAAACGAGAAAACTCCAACGAGATAATTAGCCAGAGGTCCTATATATAGAAAATACTATACATTGATAATCGTACTGATAATTTTCTTGTTCATCCAAAAATGAAATTACGCTGAAGATCTTCTGCATGATATGGCTTGGAATGAATTCACATATAAGCTGCAAAATCGAAGAAATAGTAGATATTAAAGAAAAAAAAATATATATATAGGGACACCTACCTACACAAAAATAGTATACCTACCTACAGCGGCAACTACCCACACAAAAATAGTAAACCTACCTACAACGACACCTACCGATATCAAAAAAAGTATACCTATCTACAGCGGCACCTACCCACACAAAAATAGTAAACCTACCTACAGCGACACCTACCCACACAAAAGAAGTATACCTAACTACATCGACACCTACCGATATAAAAATAGTATACCCACCCACAGCGGCACCTACCCACACAAAAATATTAAACCTACCTACAGCGACACCTACCCACACAAAAAAGTATACCTAACTACAGCGACAACTACCCATACAAAAATAGTAAACCTACCTACAGCGACACCTACCCACACAAAAGAAGTATACCTAACTACAGCGACATCTACCCACACAAAAATAGTATACCTACCTACAGCGGCACCTACCCACACAAAAATAGTAAACCTACCTACAGCGACACCTACCCACACAAAAAAAGTATACCTAACTACAGCGACAACTACCCACACAAAAATAGTAAACCTACCTACAGCGACACCTACCGATATAAAAATAGTATACCTACCCACACCAAAATAGTAAACCTACCTACAGCGACACCTACCCACACAAAAAGTATACCTAACTACAGCGACAACTACCCACACAAAAATAGTATACCTACCTACAGCGGCATCTACCCACACAAAAATAGTACACCTACCTACAGCGACACATACCCACACAAAAATAGTATACCTACCTACAGCGACACCTACCTACACAAAAATAGTATACCTACCTACAGCGGCAACTACCGATATAAAAATAGTAAACCTTCCTACAACACCACCTACCAACACAAAAATAGTAAACCTTACTACAGCGACACCTACCCACAAAAAAATAGTAAACCTACCTACAGCGACACCTTTTCACACAAAAATAGTAAGCCTACCTACAGTGACACCTACCCACACAAAAATAGAATACCTACCTTCAGCGACACCTACCCACACAAAAATAGTAAACCTACCTACAACGACACCTACCGATACAAACAGTACACTTACTGAAAGCGACACCTATATATGTACAAAAGGTTGCACCTATATATGTACTTAAAGCGACACCTATATGTGTACTTAAAGCGACACCTATATATGTACATAAAGCGACACCTATATGTATACTTAAAGTGACACCTATATATGTACATAAAGCGACACCTACCTAGAGCGAAGCAGAGGAAGAACATAAGACTACTAATCCAGGCTGTATTTCCAGCACCAGCGTCATACTTCTCTAGGAATTCGTTGTACAGGATACCAAACGCTTTGCACGTGCCAACTAACGTCATGTACAAGAGGGTACACGCTGTAACGAAATGTTTGTTACACTACATATGGTCAAAAATTCAGGATCAATTTCTAAATGTTTTGTTGTTATGTTGGGGTGGGGTAGGGGTGGGGAAGGGGTAGATGTTCGGGTGTGTGGGCTATGGGTGGGGTAGTGATGGGTGTGGGGTAGGGGTAGGGTAGGGGTGGTAGTAGGGGTAGGGGTGGGTTAGGGGTGGGAGTGACACAGCGACACATACCCACACAAAAATAGTATACCTACCTACAGCGACACCTACCTACACAAAAATAGTAAACCTACCTACAGCGGCAATACCGATATAAAAATAGTAAACCTCCCTACAACACCACCTACCAACACATAAAATAGTAAACCTTACTACAGCGACACCTACCCACACAAAAATAGTAAACCTACCTACAGCGACACCTTTTCACACAAAAATAGTAAGCCTACCTACAGTGACACCTACCCACACAAAAATAGAATACCTACCTACAACGACACCTACCGATACAAACAGTACACTTGCTGAAAGCGACACCTATATATGTACAAAAAGTTGCACCTATATATGTACTTAAAGCGACACCTATATGTGTACTTAAAGCGACACCTATATATGTACATAAAGCGACACCTATATGTATACTTAAAGTGACACCTATATGTGTACTTAAAGCGACACCTATATATGTACATAAAGCGACACCTATATATGTACATAAAGCGACACCTATATGTATACTTAAAGTGACACCTATATATGTACATAAAGCGACACCTATATTTGTACTTAAAGCGACACCTACCTAGAGCGAAGCAGAGGAATAACATAAGACTACTAATCCAGGCTGTATTTCCAGCACCAGCGTCATACTTCTCTAGGAATTCGTTGTACAGGATACCAAACGCTTTGCACGTGCCAACTAACGTCATGTACAAGAGGGTACACGCTGTAACGAAATGTTTGTTACGCTACATATGGTCAAAAATTCAGGATCAATTTCTAAATGTTTTGTTGTTATGTTGGGGTGGGGTAGGGGTTGGGAAGGGGTAGATGTTCGGGTGTGTGGGCTATGGGTGGGGTAGTGATGGGTGTGGGGTAGGGGTGGGGTAGGGGTGGGAGTAGGGGTAGGGGTGGGTTAGGGGTGGGGGTGAGGATAGATTAAGGAGTGGGGTGGGGATCAGTCATGTTTGTATACTTTTCTATGAAAATTGACAGAGACATCGGTAGCAGAGCAACTTTCAAAGAAGACGGAGTATTGTGATTCAGCAGCTGAAAATAGCAATGTCAATTTTATGAAAACATGGGGACGAAGATTACAAAACTTTTCCCTAAGAAAACATGGAGACAAAGATTACAATTACAGGCTACAAACCAACACATTTCCCTGAGAAAATATGGAGACAAAGATTGCAAATACAGGCTATTTTAGAGACTCATGCAAAAAGACATTTCAAAATCTCTAGTAAAACAAACATACCGTAAAACGACAGTCAGAACCTACAGTCACTTTCCTAAGTAATTTCGAGATATCGATGAAAGTTCATAAAATCTCCCCCCTTTAACCTCAACATAACATGATTCATACCGTAAATATATAGATGTAACAGCTTATTGCGTCAGCTCAGCGACATGTTCAACCGACAGCAGTTTTCATGATAAATAATCTGTGAAGCCATCATTTAACTTACAAAAAATATTAATAACAGCATAAAACTCGTTCAAATGAGAAGGAAGTGAATCTGATCCAAAAATTACATACTCTGAGCGTTGTCTGGTAGTACCGGAACGTTTCACGCAGCGAAACTAAGGGAGGTAACTGTTACTACTTTTTAATGTTCATTACAATATCGTTGTACATAATGAAATATTTGTGTCTCTACTTTGTCCGAAATTCGGTACATTTGTTTTTGTTTCTAAAATACCATAACTGTTAATGAGATGTTAAATGATGTAAAACCATTGCCTATATATGTGTAGTTATATTCCTTACTATGTTGTCAAATCATAGAAACATTTTGTCACCGGATATATTACAACAACCATGACCCACGACTAAATAATGTGATTTAGATTATGTACAACGCACAAAATGCTCATATCTAATAATGCTTTTACCCAGGCAAGAGGAAAATTTAGATATTTAATACAATTCCAAATCATATTATTGTAAGTTTAATTTCGAGCCCAGGAGGGTTGGGTAGTGGTTAAGTAGGGTCTAAATGACATCCCTAATCCGCCGAAAGAAATTACACCATACGGATGTCTTTTGAATAATTACAGGCCCCTACCGCTAGTCAAACATAACGTGTAAAATAATATGTCTTTTAAAGCGTCCTGATTATTTATAAAATTAGAGTTATCACCCATCACTACACAACTACAGCTTGGCTGCACTTAAAACCGTGCATTGTATAGACGTGCCTGCCTTTTCAAACTGTATATCATTACTTTGGCTCGCATTGTTTGTCACACTAGTTGAACATCTTTCAAGTAAAAATATCCTTATTTAGAATACGTGTAACTAGAAACCCATTATCTTACCATCCAGATCTGTTCAACATATAAATCACATCCGTGTTTGAATACAGGTGTGAAATGTTTTCAACTGGTGTTTTAAACGATATATGGCATCTGCTTGTAAATATACGTTATGTAGCGTTGTTAAAATATACAAAATTAATAATTTGTGTGTATTTTACAAAAATACAATGCAAAAAAATGTTATGCACCAATTCACTCCTATATCTATATTGGTACTGGATCTTCTATATCTAGAATTTAGTAAGTAATGTCGACAGTACGGTCCTATATTGGTACTGGGTCCTAACAAACAAACGTTGGATACGTGTTACTGGAATATATATATGATCAATGAAGTAATAACGACAGTACAGAAACGCGAATTGTCAAATTTTCGAGGCGATCTGTCCCTTTATTAAGACACAAAATATTGAAGTACATAGGTTACGTCACAAACACAGAATATGAAACACAAACTGAAAAAAACGATTCATGTACCAAAAATGTTTAATTGATGAAATCTCGTTATGTTGTGTACAATAACATATAACCCTAACCTTACACTCAGTGGCTATCGTAAGCAGCTACCGAGATTTCTTTTAACAAAAAAAAAAAAAAAAAAGATAAAATTGATACTTGAATCACCGTCTTTCATTCAAAAGCTGAAGAAGGGGGTTTGGCCTTTCTAATAGGGCGTTTGTCGGCCGAAGAGGATTATCGTGACACATACATTTCAATTACCATTCACAATCGTTGTACAAAACTTAGCACGTGTTTAATGTTCTATGTACGTGATGTAACTATGTAATACTTCGCGCCTTGATAAAGGGTCAGATTGTTTCGAAAATTTTACAATTTACTTGTCCGTACTGCCCTTTTTAACTTCATCAATTCATGAATTTATCTGGAAATGAACAAAAAGAGGTTTTCCTGAAGGGTTTGAAACATTGCAGTAGGTTTTACCTACCGATCAGAATGACCCACGCATAACCACCGTCCACGGTATTCCTGTTGGAGGACATCGCTGGTGTGGTGGTCTGTCACTTTATCAGTATTCCTCGTTCTATTGAGAGATATAATTTAGTGTCATTTAAATGCATTTGAAAGATTTTGCAGATAAAACCACATATATACTCGGAAACTTAGAATTAGATTAATCATACGCGGGTATATATTGTGTTCTGGTTATATCCGCTTTTAACAGAAGTACAGATAGTTTAAATCTACCACGACAAGATAAAAAAAAACTACATCTACATACACTCCTTGTCACCAACAGAGGATCGAGTTTAACCTCGGTTACATCTGTGTGAACTACGATAAGAACCATGTATAAGTGATTATAGCCAGCGCTTTGTGGTATTATGTATGGTAATTCAACTCAAACAAGCGGTCCATACTGGAACATTTAAAAAAAAAAAAGATATTAAACTTGTTGTAATATTAACAAATAAATTAATTTTGTGTCTTTCTTTTAAATAGCATTGCGCACAGGATAGTGTCACGCTTTGCGTTGTATGTACGTGTCTTATTTACATATAGACATTTATTATTCCAACTTATAAAATCTAACCTGTTGTAAGCATGCGAGGGATCTGACTGTGGGAGGAAACCCCTTCAGAGAATCGAACCTCGGACGGCTAGGTGAAAGTCAAGTGTGTTACAACTGTGCCACGGAATCATCGCCTGATTATGATGATGGATCGTTTTCTAGAATAAGAAGAAGAAGAAGAAGAAGATGATGATGATGATGATGATGATGATGATGATGATGATGATGATGATGATGATGATGATGATGGTGATAATGAAGATTGGTACATGAGTATGTGCCGATGTTTTGTTAAAATCTTGCGAAATATAAAACAAATTTTGAAAACACGCTTCAGTGCAGACATGGATCAGGCAGTTTAAAATGTGCATCTTGTTGAACAACTTGCGCTCGCTTTTAGGCAGTGTCCATTTCATATTAATTGGTGACGTCACAGTTACATTTAAGTTTTAATCATAACCTGACATTCTCGTGTTAAAGCGACGTCACAATTCTAGTAAGATATTTGATGTTTTCGCACGTTCTAACAGTGTATATTTTGGTTTTAAGTGACGTCAAAGTTCTAGTCATACGCCTGACATTTTCCTGTAAAAGTGACGTCACAGTTCTAGTCATACACCTGACATTTTCCTGTAAAAGTGACGTCACAGTTCTAGTCATACACCTGACATTTTCCTGTAAAAGTGACGTCACACTTCTAGTCATACACCTGACATTTTCCTGTAAAAGTGACGTCACAGTTCCAGTCATACACCTGACATTTTCCTGTAAAAGTGACGTCACAGTTCTAGTCATACACCTGACATTTTCCTGAAAAAGTGACGTCACAGTTCTAGTCATACACCTGACATTTTCCTGTAAAAGTGACGTCACAGTTCTAGTCATACACCTGACATTTTCCTGAAAAAGTGACGTCACAGTTCTAGTCATACACCTGACATTTTCCTGTAAAAGTGACGTCACAGTTCTAGTCATACACCTGACATTTTCCTGAAAAAGTGACGTCACAGTTCTAGTCATACACCTGACATTTTCCTGTAAAAGTGACGTCACAGTCTTAGTCATAACTTGATATTTTAAAAAGACACCACATTGTATTAATACTTCACATGTTCTGTTAATCTTTGTGTTATGGGAGTCATGTAGTTGTCTCTTAATTAACATAAATGGGGAGGGGGGAACTCACAGACACGCATACATGCACTCAAATAAATACAATACATACACACACCTCTACCATAACACACATACAAAATAAACAATTTAGTACTTCGTGTGAATAAAATTGAAGTTCATTTATTTGTATCGATATATTTTGGGCTCGTGTTTCTACCATAACGACAAAACCTCTAACACAGATTACGTATGAGTGTGGCTGGAGATAAGATCATGACTTAATTCTATTCATCCCGTTTTAGCAGTGCATAGCTTTGTCAAATGAACATGCATATCTCACATGTTGACGGAATGGGATATGATAAACTTGCGGACTGATGTTTAAATTTCGAATATTGATACCATGTATGCTTACTTCCATTAAAACGTAACACTTGAGGTACACAATGTAAGCCCCAGATTATAAAAGCACTTTACTATGGTGACCCCTCGGTGTAAGACTCCATATTTGACACGGAATTTGCATACTGGTCACAAATTAGCATTGACACGGGTGTGTATTTGTGTGTGTGTGTATGTGTGTTTGGTTACAAACCAGAGATCAGACCTATAACATCATGGTAGCTTATCGGTCACGTACTACCAATATTGGCCAATCAATTCTGACAATCTTGCATTCGTGATGAAGAAAAACGTGTATATTTTACGGCTGTTTATGTACGACCTACCTTACCGTGGTGTTGTAAAACTTCCCTCCACTGTTAAAGTTTACAGCGGTGTAGCGTGTAAAAAAACACCCGATTTATATCATGCATCGTTAGACGGAACTTCGTCTGGATTCGAGTGTGTAAAGCAGGGTTGGGCAGTCACGTACCACATACAGTTTAAACGAACCGTCAACAACAAGCATGTTTCTTATTCCCTCTATATTGACTTTGGAGTATCGTTCCATACGATATTTCTGAAAGTATTCTTTTTTAATTTTCATTTTACTCTTTGTTCTTTCAATCTGATTTAAATGTTGTGCTTCTTGAAACTCATATGAAAAAGAAGTAAATGCAAGATATTTAACACACAGCTTGGATACTTTATCAACATTGTCCCTTCTATTAATACGATATCATCATTTGGCAAAGAATTAATTAATCAAAGTACTGAAAGTACTGAGAGGCTAAACGTATTGAAAAATGTTCACAAATAACCGGTAAGCTCTTTGGAATGCAAAACTTACTATAATAAGAGAACCAGAGGCTATTTTTCTTAATTTTAAGCGATTTTATATCTTCTTTAATTCTTATTTCAAATTTGACGACAATAATGTGAATAAATCAAAATAGGTAAAAAAAAATAACAAAATACACACAACCATATCGCCAACAAGCCAAATGATAAATAGCTCTATGATGAAGTTGACTAAATAAAACCTTTGAAATACCCAAGATGTTGCAATTACTATCCTATCAATATGAGGATTTAGACAAATCGAAAGGACTTTATACCTACTTCTTTATTTTGAATGTATTGCAAAGTAATGGCCCTTACTTATTATAATTATATTTGTAGTTGAGGAAAGTAGATAAGGTATACACAGCATTTCAGATAGATAAAAGTGTAAGTAATTACATTAAATGTATTTACATGGCTATCTTCCTTGAAGTTTCATGGTTAGAGTTTTCTTCCAGTAATTATGTCTATAAAGTTATAGTTCTTTGAGATTAAACCAGACTTCCATATATAAACAAAATTTACAATATTTTCACTATAGCTACTACTATTTCTGATCTGAATGAATTGAATTAAACATATTTTATTGTAAATTATTTACAAAAGGATCGGGCACAAGTTATTTCAGCTTATAGTTGTCCTTTCCTCAATACGTTACAAAACAAAAACATCACAATATCAAGTCATCAAGAATTTACATAAATATTGGCTAAATATATTTTTAAAGAGAAGGGAAAGAGAGAGAGAAAGAAGTGGAGTGGGGGTGGGGGTAGGGGGTAGAAGGGATGACGTCATAGGAAGTAAAATTATAACAGAGTTTCATGGTTTAAAACCTGTTGCTACTTTTTATAAAATGTTGGACTCGTAAAAAAAATCAGAGTTTGCTTCAGGAGACAGTTGATCATTTCCATTAAGGAGCAGATCTAAGTCAAAATGAACTTGTAAATTCATATCATTTAAGCGTTGGAAAAGGACATTTCTGTGAACATTATAACGATGGCATTCAAAGATCTCCAATGCATTAGATAATGTCACCATGACACGCTAAATGAATAAATATGTTATGGAAATATTTCGTTCTAGTTAATTGATAATTATAAACCTGAATATTTTGGGGTTTTTTATACGCGCTTTGTTTGAAGGAATATTCAAGGAACTTGATACATATTAACAAACCTTGAGAAATCAGCACAATCAACCTTCATCAAATAAAACTAAAAGACAAAAAATACAAGTCATAACAGAGTCAACATCATGATCAGTACAGTATTAAAAATATATCATTCATAAATCATGAGCACCAAACGTATCTTGCCTACGAAGCACAAACTTTTCATCTTCAAAAACTTGAAAAAGTGTCATGGCGGTGGGTGTGAAAAACCTTAAAAAGTGTCATATCGGCAGGTGTGCGCGTGGGACGAACTGTCCAATTTGGTGACGTCTAATGAGGTAAAGTGATGTTATATATTAAGACGATCTTGCCACAACGACAAGGATTAAAACAAAATTGATGTTCTGTTTGTAAGTTTTGTTTGTTTGTAATTGCTGTTAGTTGATAATTCAAACCAAGCGCCCAGACTAACTTCTTATCAACTCGCACGTACAGTGTTCTGTACGCTTACGTCATGTCGAGAATTCCGTAAAATATATTGTCAAAATTTATCAATAGTTCAACCACACTGTGCTTCTTTTTTGAAATATATAGTAATCGTATTGTTATTAAAAAATAAACTAATTTTGGATGCTTTTAAAATAGCGATTTGAATGAACGCGGCATTATTTACGCAGAAAATTGCCGCTAGAGGGCTCTAACTCTTTTCGATATGTCAGCCAATGAGAAGGCCAGGATCGGTAAATTTTGTCTGAAAGGCCGTAGCAATAGGCTATGCGAACTGAGTACGTTTAGCCTAAAAAGTTCTAAGCTTGTTTACGTATCCTAACAGTGTCATATATATGTGCTAAATTGTTGAATATTGAATGAAAATATTGTTAAAACTAAGAAACCTTCTGATAATTCATATTCGCATTCTATATAAATATCTTGGTGACGTCACAAGGGAATGACGTTATCACGTTGTGACGTTATTATTGAGACAACGGGAACATTTAGCTTATCACTGCTCCACTCGTGAAGCTATCGAAAACAAAGTGATACATGCTGTTAATACATTGACAATGCGGTAACTATTTGATAAAACAACTTGTGGTAAAACAACAAATGCTTGTTAAGGTTTCATTTAAATCGATTTCGTGTTATCATTAAACGATAAGTTCATATGTCGCTCCCGAATCTGTACAATCTTCTGTGGATTATTATCCAAGACATTTTCAATTTCAGTTCCTTTCTTGAGCATAATTCACTCAGGAAAGGCAACCATTCCCGAGCGATTGCAGCGAAATATGAGTCCGACGAAAACATATAATTTAACAATATTTGAAGTTGTGTCGTTTGTGAAGCGCGATACAGAATTTGAATGGGTTTCTATAAACTTTCATACTATATAATGCATATGTTTGGGGGAGTTAAGTTTATAGTTAAAATGTTTAGATAAATCATTGTTTCAAGGATAAATGAAACATTTATCTGAGATATGTTACACGGAAAAGTGTGCTTTTTTCGTAATAAAAATTATGACAATCCTTCGAAAGTTTTTTTTTTATTTTTACTTTATACACATCCCACTTAAAATTATCATTTACACATAGACTCCTGAAAAGTACAAAGAGGATAAAACCAGGTGTTCCGGAGAGTAAGC